CTTAGTGCCAGTTGAAGACTCAGACCCTTCTTCTCCCAGCTTAGCTGTCAGTGCATGTCTTCTGACAGTTTCTGCAGGACAGCTCAGTTTGTCTTTTCTCCATTAGAGAGAGTAAGTGAAGGAAGCTTCTACAATTGGTCCATTTCCAAATGCCTGCTTGAGGTTTTTAGTTGAAAAGATCACTCTTTAGCCCCTTCAAATCCGCAGGGTGCACATCCGAAAATGTGATATAATACATATGTAATCCTGGATAAACTCCATTCCCCACCCCTTTCCATTAAGTAAAGTCAGTAACTAGAATCCCTGTTTAGGATTTGTGATTACAAGGATCACAGTCTGCCCTACCCTGGTCAAACAATACGGGCTCTAGGAAAGCATGAGAGCCATCATTTCAATAAAGCAAAACCCTGTTGCTTCCACTCCAGAACAGCTGACTTGAAGTGCATGCTAGGCTGTGCTTATTAACAAAATGAGAAATCTGATACATAGAAAGAAAACACTATGTGAGGATTAATCCTGGATTGCAGTTTGTGGCCAGCACTGGGCCATCATCCAAACATAGATGAAAAAGAACAGAATTTCTCCCACCTGTCACTCTACAGCAGGTACAGCTACTGCTGTGTTGTAGGCTCATCCTTTACAGCTATTGTAACAACTCATTTTGTATCAGCTTAAAATTCAGGATTGACCTCACCGTCTCATTTCTTCCTTGTTTTGTGGGAGCCAGCACTGGAGGGTGAATTTTCTTTCCAGGAATTACAAACAAGCGTGAGTAACTTACAAGTTTGGACAGCTAGCACAATACACGTATGCTTCAAGGAAAGAAACCCAGCTTAAAACCAGCTGGAACCTGGAGATTAACTGAACAAGAAACTACAACTCTCAGGAACATCTTTTTAACATTGTCCTGCTGCTTTTGAGAGAAGTAAGCACACTGTCACTGCTGATTGCAAGAGACCTGAACAAACCAATGCAGTTTCTTTGCCAATGAGCTCCTGCACAGCAGAGTGAAATCCCTATTGCAATGCATTGTCCTTGCTCCCGATAGTACAGCAAGACAAAAACCAATGTAAGAAGGCCTAATGGCTCAGTCACTGGTGTTCAATAACACCAAACCAAAGAAGTCATCTTTATTTTTTTTTTAAATATATTCTCCTGCTTATGGTTGGGTTGACACACTGTTGTTGCAATGCCACAGCTGAGCCCTGTTAATTTTTCTCCAAGCCCAGCAGGGAAGGCATGTCTGCTGATGCTGAAATGGGCCCTTCCCATTGAGCCTCGCCTGTCACAATGCAGCCAATATAATGGCTATGGCACAAATGTGATTCTGCTTTCTTCCACTCCAACACCACATTTGCTGCAGCACTGAAATGTCACTTTGTGGCAATGTTCTTCCCTGGCTGTTGGCAGAAGCTGCAGTGTTGTTCGTGCACTTTATCAGTCAGATTTGGTTAGGGTATGGGAATCCTGGTTTTCTGTAGAGAAAACATGGCAACCTCTTCCTACCAATAGCTCTGGCTGTCGAGCTGTGATATGTTCATCAGACTGGATGACAGGGTTAAATGCTGCAGTCAGCAAAAACACTTCTGATAGGAAGGCAAATGCACCTCGGTTTTCAAACATCATCCCATTTCCCTACATCTATCATCAAAAAAGGCAGCAGGGGCTCAAAGAATAGCCACATACTATTTTCTGCAAGGTCAGAGGAGTGCACAACATACACTTTATGTTTGGCAGCTCTTAATTACTATGGGCTGTAAAGATGCTAGAAAACGACAACTCTCATTGCAAGATCTGCTGTTCACAACTTCAAATTTCATGCTGTGATCACCAATTTTGGGCTGTGGTGGCTGTTTTAGAGAGTTTAAATCCATTACACAGCCAAACTGCTTAGCATTATGTTGTTTTCTAGTTATTTTAAACAACTAATCAAAATAAATTGAACATGTACCCTTCTGGAACAAGGCCTCTCACCTTCTCTTTCTCTCCTCTCTCCCCCCACCCCTTGTCACACATTGGCTTCTGCCAAACAATTCAGCACTGACACTACATCACATCACGTGATACCAAGTGCTTCAAGCATCTTGCAATACTTATTACTATCTACACATCCATAAGTCATTCCACCCAGAAATGTGAATACTAACATGAGCTATTTCCTTATGCATTAAAGATTTAGAGCTCTCCCAGATCCTTGGAAGAAGCTTGTCCCCTGAAATACTGAAAAATCATCCCTTTTATGTGTGTGTCTCATCTGCATTTCACGTAGATTAGGAAGCATGACAGAAGGAAAACCTGCCATATTCTCATACTCTCCCATTCCTCCTGCTTACGCTCCTGCGGCCACACAAGTCTGTTGTGATTAAGCAATGGATTTTAGATGTCAAAGAACGAGGCACTTACACAGGGTGTCCTTACCCATGTTAGAATGGAAAGTAACAAATGTAAGAGGTTGCTTATTCTTAATGCTGATCTCCTCCAGAGCTAAAATGATATGTCAGTAGCAGGTGTCAAGTTTGAAGACCCCCCCCCTCTTTTTTTTTTTTTTTAATAAATATAACAAAGGGCACACAGATTTGACCTAATGGGTCAACCATCAAAAGTTAAACTGATTTAAATAATTAGACCTAGAATGTCAGGCACCACTGCAAATAATTGCTCCTAATGCTTTTAGGATTAGATTGCTAATGAAAAGGCGCAAAAAGGAGGCCATTTGCAGTTGTGGAAATAAGTCAATTTTCTTTCCATATGTCATTTTCCTCATGTAGATTTGCTGTGAAATCTTAAGGAGTCATTTACAGCTTTCCCTCCAGAGCTGCTGTAGTATATACAATAGTTCTGAGTAATAAAAAATAGCAATAAGTCATCTTGAAATATTAGTTGTTTATACACTGTATTTATCAAGCATAGCAAACATCTGCTCATAGTTCTGACATTTTCCAATGAAAGTGACTATTGCATATTGTTTTCCCCTTAATTTCTGGAAAAACATGGGCCATTCAAATATAAACAGCATTCCACAACAAATTTAAACCAGTTTTGGTCAAAGGACAGTTCATGAGCAGAATGTAATTCTGATGCTCTTAACTGGTTTCTGGCTGCTCTCTCAGATTTATTCTAACAACTGAGTATACCCTGAGTGATTTCGTTAACCGTCTGCTAAAACACTGGGTTCCATATATAATTCACTAATTCTGTGTAAAGGTGTGTATACCCCCGCCCCACTCGCAGATTCTAACGCCAAGTTACCCGTCTCTGGAAGCGCCCAGGCCGCCCGAGTTCTCAAAGGTTGCGGATTTCGCAGCAGAAAGATTCGAGCGCCCAGACCCCGTGCGCACATCCGCGTTCCCCGGGCGGCGGCGGGGCCGGGCACGGTGTCCGGAGCCCCCGGGAGGAGCGCGGCTGGCGGCCCCGATAACGGGGGGCGCGCCGAGAGCCGCCCGCCGCCGCCGTGCCCACTTCCACCTGGGACCCGGCCAAGCAGAAGTCAATAATTGACTTCCCCGCCGGCTCTCGCCCCGTACCAAAGGGGCCGGGCGCGGGCTGGGCGCTGCGGGCACCAAGGGGCTCCCGGGCCGCGCACCGCGCTGGGGGCCGGCACGCAGCCTCCCCCGCCCCCACTCCCCCCGCCGGCTTCGCTTTGCTTTTAAATGCAACCAGAAAAACACAAAAAGCCCGGCTTCCCCCGCCGCCGAGCTGGCACCGGCACCGGCGCGCCGGGAGATGCAGAGCCCGGTCCGGCTCCGCGGCGCCGTGCTCCCGGGACCGGGCAGCCGCGAGCAGCAACCAGCCCTCTCGGTTCCCTCAATTGCGATGTCGAGCGCCTCGGCAATAATCCTGCCAGCCTGGACGTACAATTTCTTTTTTTTTTTTTTTTTTCAAACCGAGTGGACAGCTCTACGCTGGCTAGCGCGGCCGGGGAACGTGCATTTCCTGCGGGGCACAAAGCCGGCGGGCAGGGTCCGGGGAGCCCCTGGCCGCGGGAGGGTGCGCGATCCTGCTCCGTCCATTGCGTCCGAGATGGGGCCGTAACAAAAGCCAGAGACCCGCAGCGACGGGCAGAGCGAGCGGGACCGGCGGGTCCTTCCCTCCGCGATCCCGAGCGGCCGAGGGGGGCGGCGGGGAAGGGGGGAGCCAGGGCAAAAGTTCACCGCGGTCCCGGTAGGGCAGGGGGTGCTCGGTGGGGCTGGGGCCGGCGCTGGGGTTGGGGGATGCCGGCCTGGTTCGTCGCCTCGCAGCCCGGCGGATGGACCGCGGGGGGCGGGAAGGAGGCGATGCAAGTCCCGGGAGCCCCCTTTCCTGCCCTCTCCTCTACAATGCGGCCAGATCCCCGGCACAAACACGCCCCCCGGCACCCCGGGGCTCCGCTCCCTCCTTTCGGGGAAAAAATAAAATCAAATAAAATACAATACGGCTCACTTGAAGGGACGAGTGGGGATGGGGAGCAGGCGGCTGCTCCGGGGCCGGTCAGCCCCACGCCGGCCGGCCCTGGCGGGCAGCAGCTGCGGCCCCCCGGCCCGACCCCACTGCCGCCGGGGAAGGGGCAGCGCACACCCGTGCGCGCACACACAAATGGCACGGGAGGAGGGGAAAGTTTCCAGCCGCTTCAACCAAATAGCCAACATTTGCAAGCTCCAGACAGGCACGGTGGCCGGCACACCGATGCACGCCCCGGCCCCCGAAGCAACGGGGCAGCGCGCCCGGAGAGCGAGGGGAGGGGGCCCGGGGCACGGAGAGAGGGGGGCAAGAGCAGAGAAACCATCTCGGGTTTTTCAATGGAAGTACCGCCGGTGCCGGGCACGGTTGATGTAGGGCAGGGAACAACAAGGGGACACCCCCGCCACCCCGGCGACTCTCCCGAGCGGACCCGTGCAGATGGGCAGATCACCGGGGCTGCAAATAAAGAGCGGGGGAGCGGGGCTGGGCTGCACCGCGGAGCCCGGCAGCGCCCGACCGCCCCGCGGGACCCGCGCCCCCGCCCGCGCCCCGCGCCGCGTTACCTTCTTATTGCATCTGGAGCAGCAGCTTTTCTTCCCTTTCCCCTCTCCTCCTCTCCCTCTCCTGTCCTCTCGGTTTATACCAGCCTGTTCCTCATCTCACAGCCTTCCTCCCAGCGCCATCTTGCAAGCTTGTGACGTTGGGAGCCGCTCACCCCTGACCCACATTTGAATAGAAGCCAAAATGAAAAAAAGAAGAGAGAGCGAGGGAGAGAGGAGAGAAAGAGGGGAAAGAAGAAGAAGAAAGAGCGGAACAAGGAGAGGCAGGGGAAGCAGCAGCTAAGCAAGTGCTGTGCCAGTGTGGAACAGCATCGGCTCTGCTCCCTTGCCAGCTAGTTTAGTAATAAGCAATTTCCTGCTTTTGCAATAAATGTTGCCGCGGCGGGGCTGGGAAAGGGACGGGGATCTGAGCAATTCCCACCGAGGGACCAGGGCTTCCCCCACCCCGAGCCGCCCCCCTTTCCCTGCCACCCACACCCCGAAACCCAGCCCGGAGCCTGACCACTGCCTCCCGGCAACCCAAATACTGCTGCTCCCTCCCAGGTTTTGAGCAATGAAAAAGGCATTTATTAAGATTATTTCTCCCATCACTGATGAGCTCTTAAGTGTGTGTTCAGAGAAATTATATAGATTATAGCTTGTACATGTGTTGGAATCTGAAATGAGTTTTACACACAAATTTAGGAAACATCATGCATAGCACTATTTGCATATTAGTTTTTTGTCACTCATATCTGTGTGTTAAGGACTGTCACTGCATTTTGCATCATTCAGGGCACAGATACAGACATGGCCTTTGCACCCACAGAATCTGAAGTTTTGGGTTGTGCAAAGTAACTTTTTTAGTTACTTACCTGAGGAAGTATATTGGAGGGAAAAGTTATTTGTGTTATGTGTCCCTGGTCCTGCAACATTTCCTTGCACGCTTAACTTAAAGCACATCACTGATCGCATTGAGTAAGAAGGGCTTACACTGAGTGTGCTCAACCTGCAAACTCAACACATTACTTTGTAAAATGTTGAGTTCCCTTAACATTTTACATCTTAATTTTACTGACCATTGCCACAAAGTACAACTGTGCAGAAATCTGAATTACCCCTTTGCAGCACTCTCTCCCTTCCATAGCTAATTAATCTGTAATAACTGGAGAAATGCACATAAACATTTTTATTGTAATCATGCACAGGAGTACTTCCACTATCCCATGTAGGAATCACTGTATTAACTCCAAGTATGAGATGATATTTCCTTTCCTTCTGTGTCCTCACAGCCATCCATAACCAAAATTCTCTGTAACCTCAGCAAGGCGATTCATTAGTGAAGCTAAGCCTACGTTTAACACATGTCTAATAATTCCCTAATAGCCACAATGCCAGTGACTCTCTCAGCCACTTCCTGTGCAGATCCCTGCAGTCTGCATGCCCTTCAGCTGGATCCCAGCTGCAGCCTAAGCTCTCCATCCCTGATAATAAAGATATTTTCTAGTTGCTCATCCAGAGTTCAAAGTTTTTGCAGGACATGGTTTCTTCAGCTTTACCAAAGTGGCTTGAGGAGCAGATAAAGATAAGGCAAATCACAACAGCCATATCAGAAGGGTCTGGACTGGTGGTTTGTTCACAGTACACCCAATAAAGAGCAGAACACTAACAGTGGTGAGAACAGCAAACCTGACTGTCAGCACAAGACCCAGTGAAGTAGATAAGGATCAATTCAAGACTCTTCCCCCATCAGGAAAGTTAATTTAAGATCGGTGGTGCTGCTCTGAGCTGTATTTTAAAGCTAAGTGGCCTTGCAAATAGCCAGGGAGGTGTTTCACACCATTTGTTTCATGCTGTGCCAGAGGAATTGGTAGGCAAATACACAGAAGTCCTTGCACTATCTAAACAGGGGCTACATGCATCATAGATTTTTTATCAGATAAGTTTAGACATTTGGGTTTAGAAAGACCCACTTTTGTGAATCTTTGTGTGGCATTTCAAGACCTCAACAATGCCACCATCTGCCCTCATCTTCCTTCCTTCCGCTGCAGTTTTCCACCCCAGCACAATCTGTGCCCCTGCCAGTTCACAAACCAACATCTTTGTTCAAACCCGCTTTCATCAGACATTTGAACAAAGGTGCCAGGTTTTTCACAGGAATTGCTTGAGGCACAAGCATTTCAGCCTGTCTGCCAACTTTGCTAGGCAGGTGTTAACTTTTGAGAGTGAAAGGGAGAAAGAAAGTTGGGAAGATGGACAGAAACATCCTAAAATGTGACCACAAGGTTTAGTCTAAAAATCTTTACTTGTATTTGGATCCTCTCTAGGTTTGGGAATGATCAGTTTGCAGCATCCCTCTGCAAACTGAGAAATGGACAAATTTTCAGTAGAGAGGAGACAAAAAAAAAGGATAGAAATTAGGTGTCTGGCACCTGGAAATGATATGGTATGATACAACACTGCATTCAGCTTCATATATAAGTGATAATTATAAGGTTGGAAAAGAACTAATGAGAAAGTTAGACCTGGCACTGTCACTAGAACCAGGGACATCTGTGGAGAATCTGATGAGCCAAGTTGAAGTATGGCCACACCTACCTGGAAAACATCTTCAGGCACGCAAGGCAGATACCATGATACCTGTAATGTCTCCAAGCAACCACAGCCAGGGAATTTGCCATCCAAACAGAGGGTACACCCTCAAGTTCTGAGAAATCACACCCACTGTGGGCACATCTGGCACTGGTAAAACGTGCCCCTGTGTGTGAGAAGCAAACGGGTTGCTCAGGTGCAGAGAGCTGCATGCTCAGATGAAAGGCTGGATTAGAAGGGTGATGGTGGCACTCTGCTTGCAGACACTGTGGCACAATGGGCATGTTCTGGAGGATGATTTGGGCTTGTGAATATTTTGAAGAAAGAGGCTCTTCTATTTGCAGCTGGACACTTGTCATTAACTTTGTTTTCTAGTTTTGTTTGACTCTGAGGTTTTTAGCACTTTACTGAAAAGAGCATGGAGAGGATGGCAGCAGTGGATTGTGCTGGGTGCTCTGCAGACACAGTTGAAAGCTTCAACTTTCTCCTTGCTGTGTTGATGAATACATTGAATGCAGCACATCCAAGGTAGCTATGACAAACAGATTTTTGCCCTAACAATACACAAGGAATTTAGAACAGAATCCAAAGAACAAGCAGATTGCACACCATTCTTGTATCTTAGTCCTTAGTATCTATTCACAATAGCTCTGTAATGCTGTTTTCAAGCAGACAAGTTTAATTAATTGTATCACCCCCCAATAAGTTATTGTTTGCAAAATACTTAGACTCAAGTCCGTGACTGAAACCCAGAGGAACTTTAGGGCTTTGGTTTCATTTCAGTTTTCAACAAACTGATGGGTCCAGAAGCAGCTCCAGCCCTTTGTAGCAGTGCTAACAGCAAGTTTATACTCATCCTAGAACAGGAAGAGAGCATGGATAGAATTATTGTGGTGGCAAGCGAGTGCTGTGTGTGAGGAGTGAAGTCATCTGAGCAAAGAAAATGCCATTGCAGAAAGTAAACAGAATAACGACCAAAGGGTGGCCCTGTGCCCTTAAGGCTCTTCAGTGCCACCTGCCTTCAGTCCCAGCGCTGGTGGATGGCCAGTGCCATCTAGCAGGCAAACTGTTGGTTACAGTAGCGAACCCATGGGTAGAGCTGGGCAGAAAATCTCCCATGAAAAGCAAAAAACTGCAATTCAAGGAACGAAGCAAAATATACAGGGCAGAGAATGCCAGATTAGGGCTTATGTCTGAAAGCAAGGTTAAAGCAAGGGGTAACCAGCCTGCTTCTCAAGAATAGATAATGATTTACCTCTGAACATAAATTGAGACAAAGTTTCCTAGCAGAGGTTTGCACTCATTGTCTCTGCAGTGGAGTACTCCTGACAGCTCCGCGAAAAATGCTGAGGGCCAGAATGTCGGTGTGGAACTGAGAGAGGCATCGTGTAAGGCATTGCAATGACCCAGGAAACTGTGCTTGAATAGTATCAGAACAGCTGGGGATAGCTCATGAAATGAAAAAGTTATTTCACTGTCCCCTCCATAGAAATATTCTTCTACAGTCAGACATACATGTCTGGGAAGTTTTGTCCAACAGACTCAAAAGTGCCCATGGAGGAGATTCCAATTTTATGCTAATATGGGTTTGGAAAATCTTTTCTCTCTTATCTGCAAGTGTGCTGTGCTTGAGTGTACATCCTCAGTAAAGCTCCTTCATCATTCACTGGATTAGTTGGGTTCCCCACTCTGCTACTTCTACAGTCAGTGGATGACGCACAGAGCATTACATTATGACCTTTGTGTAATTATATCTTAATTTATCCTATCTGTTCCTGGTTTTACTAATGCAGAACTTGATAGAACACAAATTTGAGAAGTAATTTTTCTGCATCTGAAAAAGGAAAGAAAATATTTTTGGAAATAAATTTGTAAAAGCAAAATCAAGAAACAGTAAATGTAACCTGCATTTTAGTATAAAAAATTGCCACAAAGTTCCCCATTTCAGAGCTAGTTGTATGCTGTGGCTGGTCACAGGTTCCCTCAGCTCTGCACTGTTTTGCCTTGTGAGTGTTCTGCTCAAAATCATGAGCTTAGAACCCAATAACAAAAACAAACAAACAAACAAACAAACAAAAACCGCAGCAGAAGGTAGCAGTTTGAAAATCTAGGCTAGTGGTTTAGTGCTTGTACAAGGTACTACTTTGTCCACTTCTGCCTCTGTTCATTCTGACAGAAGTTTTCATTTCCTTGGAAGGGAAGAAACTTGCACTCTTTTTGTTGCTAGAAGCTGAAGCTTTTTGTGAGATGTTCTGGCATAGGCAGGGCTGAAGCAAGGGGTTTTGCAACTCTAATCAGATAAAAACACTCCTTCCATTATAACAAGATCTTTGATTTCTGTTGGCCTGTGAATTTCATTGCAAATATGTTCACTCTGTACCTATCTCCAAAACATCTGCATTAAACTGTGTCTACCCTGCTAGTTAATATAGTCTGTGCAACAGCATCACTCCACTGGGCTGTGGGAGAGTAATAAGAGTAAGAGAAACAAGTGGTGAACAAACTCAGCACCTGTTAGTGTTC